TATATATATATATATATTTAAATTACATATACATTCATCCATCAATTTAAAATACAAATTTCAGTTTGCCCCCATGTTCAACTCAAGCTTCATGAACTTTAATGGCCAACAATAAAACCAATAAATTTAAAATGCAAATTTCAATTTGCCGTTGGTCTTGTTGAATTAGCAGGAAAAAATAGCATAGGAATTATTAAGCATAAAAAATAAGCAGAAAACATAATTATGTGGTTTACCTTCTTTACCCACCAAATTGACTGTACTACCAAAATACCCAAACAAAATAATACTACCTACAAACCACAACTTAATAGATATGATACCACGGCATAACCCTTTAACTTGCTTTTTTAATAGAAAATTTCCATTTGGAGTCGGTTTGCAATTTTGGCCTAAATACTCTACTCAAGCAGCACTACTCATTCTTCTTTATTGAATCATCTCTATTACTCTCACAAAAAACATGCTCTCACATGAGAGGAGAGCCCCTCAACCCTTGGGCGTATTAAAACCTTGGGCATGCTCAAATTCTTAACTCTAAGCCTCTTTTAGACCAAATTATTACTGCAAAGATTATGAAATTATTGCCGCAACAATACTACATAAAAGAAAAACCAACATCTAAAGATAGGAACTTGAGACAATTTCTAACAAGTTCACATAAAGAGAAAGGCCATGAATCAATTAAAGCAAAGAGGATTTGACAAAGGCATTGGACAATGCATGGATTTTAGAGTGTTGTGTCATTCATTGAGCTTCAGAAGAGCATTTTAATGTCTACTTGAAATGAACCAAAAATAAATAAATAAATAAAATCTATTGTTATAACTTTGTTATTAGATAGCTGGCACTTAAAGTAACATTCAAGATCATAGATTTCTACTGCGCATTTATGTGTAAAATAATGATGGTGCCATTCAATGGTTGTGCTCTTGATTTTCAAATATTTAAATAAATAATAGGAAAGCCCAAAAAGAGAAAGCAAGATAAAAGAAAAATAAATAGAAGGCTGGGAAATAGTTGTTAGTACTTCTAGCTTTACAACTTCTTTTGTTTCATTTTGTTTGTTACTTATTATTTTTTTAATTGGTTCAACTTACCTATTGATTTGAAATTGAAAATATGATTAAATACGTTAGATGTTACTTATGAAAGAAATTGTCTACATTGTTTGGTTTTATACATAGCAAGTAATTCCCCATGAGTAGAAACAAATGGAATTGTATTGACTTTAATTAGAATGACATAGCTAGCGGTTTGTGGTTTACCAAATTACTGTTTTTGGTGAAATAAAAGGGAGGGGGGGTGTGCACTCTCATTCCATACCACTATATATATATTCTCTACAATTATGAATTAGAGTGAAAGTCTTTTTAAAAAGTACCTAATTACCTATAAAAGCAATAAGTTGGTCATTTTCACTTATGGTTCTTTGGGGTTGACTTTTAATGACATTTGATCATGGTCATATGCTCAGATTCTAAACTAGTGTCTAATTTGAGCAAGATGAGACATCTAGATCTAAGTTATAATAATTTTGACGAGGATGCCTTCAGGATTTTGGGTGCTCTCCCATCCCTTAAGTTTCTATCCTCAGTGTCCAATAGCATGGAAGGACCACTTTCTAACCAAGGTATGTGTATTTTTTATTTCTCAAATTCATGCTACATAAGTTAATTTTTTTAGCTCCATTTGAGTGTTGAGAAGACTTAAAATAGTTGGAAAATGAAGTCTTACAGCTAGCAATTTGTGCAAAATTATAGTTCTTTGTCAAATATATCTTTCTGGAATCTATTACTGCCATCAATGGCATCATTGTCCTTAAATTTTTTTAACACTACATTTTCATTTGAAATTGAGCTACTAATTGAGGTGCCCATAGAATATAGTTCACAACATCAAATTATATTTCTCTATTTTCTTTATCTCAATCTAATTAACGAGTCTCTTCACTTGGGTTACAGAATTGACTTATAATCTTAGCAATTTGAAGACTTAAAATAGTTGGAAAAATGAAGTCTTACAGCTAGCAATTTGTGCAAAATTATAGTTCTTTGTCAAATATATCTTTCTGGAATCTATTACTACCATCAATGGCATCATTGTCCTTAAATTTTTTTAACATTACATTTTCACTTGAAATTAAGCTACTAATTGAGGTGCCCATAGAATATAGTTCACAACATCAAATTATATTTATCTCTATTTTCTTTATCTGAATCTAATTAACGAGTCTCTTCACTTGGGTTACAGAATTGACTTATAATCTTAGCAATTTGGAGGTCCTCCTCCTCAGAGGAAATCTGCTCAATGGAACACTACCAATGGAAGGTAAGAATTTTGCTATTTAAATTGTCTTAGGATCACCCTACAATCTTGATTGTATTTTGTTGAGTTCTCTTGGCTTTATTTTACCTTTATCATATGTTTTGATAGGTTTGACATCCTTCAGCTATCTTCATATCTTAGATTTGAGTGAGAATAATTTCTTTGCAAGTATTCTCCATCCATAGGAGCATTATCTTCTCTGAAAGCTCTATCTCTGGCTCAAAATAATCTTAGTGGTTCTTTATCAATTCAAGGTAAAAATTCTATTCGTTAAGGTTATCTATTATAAACTAAAAGGCCAACAAAGTAGAAATTCAAAGGCCAACAAAAATTCTATTGCTTCCTTTCTGTTTTTATTTATTAATTTATTTGCTTCTTGCAAATAAATAAACTAGCATTGAAGAAAACTATGAACTAGCATCATCTTTATGTTTTCAAGAGTTAGCTGGTGTCTGATAAAATTGGAAGTTGAAAACTAAAAGTTGAGGAAAATTCTATTATACACTCCTTTAAAAAATGTGTATCATATGAACCCCTAATTATGTTATTTTATTCTTTAGTTATGTTATTTTCTTCTTTAGTTATGAACAATTTTCTTCACACACCAGGTTTTTCTCCTTTAAATCCACATATATGTGTTTCTCAGTGTTTTTATGTATATATTTTTGTTTGAAGGTTATTGAGAGTATGGTGTTTTGAATTGCTTTAGTTTCTCAACTTTATGGGGAGATCCTAGAAGAGAATGGTATTGACTTGCCTGAAATGAAGATTTTGAGGAGGGAAATGGAGAAGCTTGGGATTGATAGAAATATCTGTAAACGAGGGCAGTACAACCACTTAAGTTGCCCAATGGTATGCTTTGTTTGTTCCAAAATTTGTTCCTAGAAGCTATATTGTGTTTGCTTTATCTGAAACCTATGTAATATATGTTGCTACACTTATGTAGTTGTGTTTATTTGATTGTTTGAATTGACAATCTTGTTATATATTAGGAATTATTTAAGTAGTATTTAACCAATAAGTTAAAAGTACATTAAACATGGTGTGTTATATATTTGTTTATTAAAACTGAAGAGAAGTGGGTTAGATCATTCCTTTTTCTTCCAATATAAATGTTTATTTATGTTTTGCTTTTCTTTTTACTGTAGTGCAAAGGTGGGGATTCAGAGGAGAAGAGCTTATTCATTTTCATCACTGCAAATGGGTAAACTGTCCATATTTCTTTTATTTATTTATTTTTTTTCTATTTTCTTTCTTGACAGTTCGCTTGTTGTATCTGTCATGGGCTTTTTATTGTGCTAAGAATTCAGCTTTGTGGACCTGTTTTCAAGCAAAATGTGGCTAGAGAGGCAATACAGGGGTACCAAAGTGTTTTATATATGGTTTTGATTTTATGTAATTAGTTAATCAGGCATTTGATCTGATTTTAGAGTCCCTTTCAATTGTACCCATTTTGTTGCAGGCCTATGTAAATGGCAATTCAACGTCCGGAAGGATTGCTCATATACCGAAAGTTAAGCAGACTAGAGAAATCACCGAGAAAAGTTTGGATTTGGAACCAACTTGTAGTGAGGTAATACCTTTCAGCTTTGATCTACTTTTTTGCTTATTTGATTAAATCTGATGTTTGTTTAGGTGGCAATGGTTAGACATACAGCTAAGTAAGGATATGGGCACTTCTAAACATATGTATAGGCCTTGTAACTGTGAGTTGTGAAGTCTTTAACTCAGTGCATTATGTTACATGGACACTTCTAAACATATGGCTAGAGTAAGGATATGGGCTGTGTGTCCGACATGTCCAGTCAAAACTGGGCCGAACAAGCATGTTTAGTTATGCAAATTTACCATGTAATTAATTGATAGACCTCCCTTATTATGTTTCTTTGTGACATGATTGCTTTAGAGCAAGTGACGTGCCATCTTGAAGAAAAGTCACCATTCCACCTTAAGAAATAAAACACGAATACTAAGAAATTGTTTTTTATTTTTTCATTTTCTGTTGCTTTTACACTGTCTTACATAAAGTCAGTATTCTACCTTGAGAAATAAGAGAAACATGCCAAGAAATTTGGGAGTTTAGATGTATAATATCCACACTTGATAGGGGGACTTGAGTCTATGTAACATGACTAGTGTATATAACATCACTTCAGATTTGGTGATATTTTAATTAATTTTACTGTGTGCTTCTTGGCTTATCAGATATGGTCTGCTCCAAATTATTGTTATCACTGTGGTAATGTAGCTTCAATATTGAGCTTCAATGAGAATATGGTACTGCCACTAAACTTTTCACTCTTTTAACTTGGTTGTGGCTTTTTAGCTCATTTATATAGATTTGATTAATTGAATTTTCTATGGGTGTTGTGTTTTACCCCTTTGTCTGTTAGGAGAGAGAGGTGAAGTTCTTCACTGAAACAGAGGAAAACAACCAGATGAGAGGCCCCAGAACTGGAGTGCCTTATTTTTTATGAGTGAGGATTTGTTTGCTTCATTACCCTGTACTATTGTTTGAAGTTTGATGCACTACTGTTTTCATTGTGGGGGGGGGGGGAGAGAAAGAAGATATGGACAGATGTTTTCCTTAGAGGATCCCTGAAAAAGATTACATGAATATTCTTGCAACATGGAATACATTCAAGCTTTTGTTCCTAACCTGCTCTGCTTTTAAATAGCGTGTTTGTGTTGTAAACGCCTACTTTTCCTTTTTCGTTGCTTCTGTTTTAGTTTATTATACATTTTTTAAAAATCTTTTATCTAGTTTGTGAGTTTATTTGGAATCTGATAAGCTTACAGTTAGTAGCTGGCCAATGCTAGATCAGATGATTTGGAAATTTGAGAGATTAAATCTATATTCCTCATTGAGTTAAGACATTTTATTTCAGATTGACTATTGAGTGAGTTCATTCTATTGTCTCTACTTGTAGCATCCATTCTAGGGGAACCTACATGGAACTCAAACGCCACACCAAAAGTCTAAATAGGTAAGTTTCTTCAAAGGGCTATCAGTCCACCAGCAGTAGGCCAGTAAAAATTTAAGGTTGTGTTTGGATGTGCAGAATCATTTTATTGTTTGGTGGTTATTGTTTGGTGCTAAATAGGTAAGTGTCATAGTATGCTTCCTCACAGTTACAAGGCCTTTATCTTGAAACATGTATTTAAGACCTTCCTGCACAAGTTAATGGCTCCTTGTTTGTGTAAACTCATCAGGATTGGCTGGGCAGGGCTACTAATTGGGCTAAATTCAGTGCAACAGCAGGGCTAGGTGTTATTCACAGAGGCCACCTTCAACAGGGCAGATCGCTGATGGCCCCTTACTTGCCACAGAGTGGGGCTGGTGGTGGTGGCAGTCCATACTCTGAAGGCGGTGCTCTCTATGCCCTAGGCTTGATTCATGCAAACCATGGGAAGGGTATCAAACAGTTTCTTTGTGATAGCCTATGCAGTACCAACGTAGAGGTGCTTGCTCTCTATAATCTATTGTTCGGTTACTTTTGTGCACCATGAATTTCTGTTATAATAGTGGTGCTGGAAACTTTGATTGGTGCAGGTTATTCAGCATGGTGCATGCTTGGGTCTGGGCTTGGAAGCTCTTGGAACTGCTGATGAAGATATCTATGACGACGTAAAACTGTGCTTTGTATTGACAGTGTTGTTTGTGGTTTCCTGTTTGAACCTTGTACTTACATTCTGTAAATTATCTTAAAGTAGCATGATAGTTATTTATTTAATATTTTTCTCAATTAACCACAAGATGAGTATTATCTCATCAACTTTGCTATTGTTTCAGCTCAGAAGCAGTTAATTTTGTTAGGAATCAGCTTCGGCATCACAGAGATGTTCAGGTAAAAAATTTGCCTCAATTCTGGTATACCAGTGTTATGGTTTGCAAAGTTTTAACTTCTTTTGTTCTGATTTTTGTTAGCTTGTGAGGCACTTGGAAGAGCAGCTCTGGTAATGGATGCGTGAATGTTTATTTTTCTTGCACAATGCTTGATCATACCTGCAAATTTATCTATATTACAGGACCGACGTTCACAAGATAATGTCAGCATCATCATTGTTGATTTCGGGTATGCACTTGTATGCATTAAGTTAATTTAATCTAATGTTTTCCATTCTAATCTAATGTGTCAATCTATTGTACTCATATTAACCTTTCTAATTTGGTCCTAGCTGTGACTTTTTGCAGGAGGACAGATTGGCAAAGTTTGCCTCATTTAGAAAGAAATTTTTGTTTATGAACTGGGTCAAGCTTTTGCTACTATTGGTACTGTGTCATTAGGAGTATGGATGTCTTCTCTACTTTCTGCATGAGTTCTCAAGCCTGACTTCGTAAATAAATCCTCACAGATTTCTAATATATTTTGTGTCAAGATATATTCTGTAATTGTACATGTATCACATCTTATTGCATTGTTTTTTATTTTTAATTTTGTTTTCAAACTTAGTTTATTTATTATTTTAATAAACATCAATTATTAGTTCTTAATAATTGTTTATGACTGGTATTTTTTTCAACCATATAAAATTAGCACAACTTTAAAAATAAAAAAATAAAAATAAAGGCTATGGCGGCATTTTTTGAACGTCACTATATCCCTATCCCAACGGTTCGATTTTTAAAATGTATAAATGTCTTTAACGGCGTTTCCAAAACGTCGCTTCCAAAACGTCGCTAAATGTCATAGTGACGTCACAGTACAATTAGCGTAGGACATTTGGCAGCGTTTTTACAAACGCCGCCTATACTAATATAATGACGTTTTTCAAACGCCATAAATCTATAGCAACGGCCGCGTCCTCGGCGTTTGGTACTAAACGTCACAAAAAGAATTAGCGACGTTTTCAGTACCTATAGCGGCGTTTTTAAAACGTCACTAAAAGTCAATTTTCCAGCAGTGTGTTAAAGACACTACAACAAAATGCATCTTTGGTGACCAAAATTAGCGACTAAAAAAAATTTAGTCGCCAAAAGTTTTAGAAATGGCGACTAAAAATTTTTTTAGTCGGCAAAAGTAAAATATTTAGCTACTAATTTTTTTTAGTCGGGGTATATTGTTTATTGGTGACTAAAAAAAAATTAGTCGCCAAAAATGCCAGAATTGGCGACAAAAAAAAAATTTAGTCGCCGTAGGTAGAGATTTGGCTACTAAAACGCTTTAGTCGCCGATTGAAAAATAAAAAATTATTTTTTACCTTTGGCGACTAAAATTTTAGTTGCCAAAAGTTTTTTTTTCAGCGACGAAAAATAAGTTTAGTTGCCGTAGGTAGAGATTTTGCTACTAAAATGCTTTAGTCGCCAATTGGAAAACAAAAAGTTATTTTTTACCTTTGGCGACCAAAATTTTAGTAGCCAAAAGTTTATGTTCAGCGACGAAAAATAATTTTAGTCGCCAAAGAACTAAAATTATTAGAGGGAGATATTTTAAATAGTTTGGAGGGATTTATGAAATACTTTCAGCGACTAAAAACTTTTAGTCGCCAATGGTGTAATATATATATTTTGGTTTCCAAACCACAAACCAGCGCCTCTTCTCTCTTTCTTCAGCGGTTCTCCCTCTGCC